TACTTTAAAAATGAAGACACAAAACAGGGAGACTCCTAATGAAGTTTAAAATTTAGAGAGTCACATAGCAGAAGGATTGGGACCAATCTTAGTGTCTGAGACAAGAGTAAACATGGAAGGGCCTTCAGAAGATGTGCCAAGAGAAGGACTACCTTAGACCACAGTCTAGGGAACACTGGGGGACAATGCAGTCTGACTGTGAAGCGCTAGGTTGTGTCAGGTTTGGCTGCTCCAGCTGCAGCCCCCAGGCTCCCTCATATACTCCTTCATACATATGAGCATACTCAAATGCTGCATTCGGCTGGTGCATCTCAGACTTGAAAACCAGCAAGTTTTCCCACCCTGGAGGAAAAGAGATTGGGTGGACAAGACTTGGGAGTTAGTCAGTAAAGGTTTAGGGTTTTGGAAGGTGTGACAGGATGCTGAAGGCAGAAAAAGCTCTTGGTTTGATGCAAATGTCAGAATGAATCTTTTAATTAGAAAGACTTTGGCTGTCCCTGGAGCAGCCAATTCTGCCTGTGAAACTGACCATACAGACATGCCTTCTGAATCCAAGAACACCTTTTCCTCATTGCCAAGCTATCTGACTCCCACTTTTGCTTTTTTTTTAATCCTTCATTGTTTTCTGTTTTGCTCTGAGTGCTGGGAGAACCAGAATGTGCCTGCCTACCACACTGTTTTTGTTTTCTACCATGTCACCTTCCTTTCTTCATCAAACTTTGCTGAAGGACAGGTTAGGTCCTGTGAATTAAGCAGCAGGTTGAAGATTGCTGGATTCTCAGGAAGACTTATTAAATGGAAAGCATTCCTCCTCCCTATATAAAATTACTCTGAGATACTCCATGACTCAAGATGTACTGAGAAATAGTATCTCTTTTTAACATGCTGTCATCTTCTGTTGCTGTTTAAAAAAATTAAACATCTTCCAAAGTAAAAAAAATAAAATTGTGCATAGATAATCTCTTAAATTCCCTGCTTATGTGAAGTTGAAGAAGCAATGTTAAAGATTTTGAGCGAGTCTTATCTAATTAGAACCTAGGACTTAATTACTTCTCTCCTGAAAGATGAGCCTCTGGTGGATTAATTTTATGAGGATAGTATGCCTTGAGCAAAACACAGAAAATAGTTTTCTGTCAGAACTTAAGAAAATAGAAGTTTTATCATATGGATTGCTACATGTTTTGCACATGGGTTGCATTTATAAAGTCTTTGCTGTCTAGCACAGACAGGCAATCAAAACTGAAATCAGAGAAAATAGCAGAAGAACTGATAAAAGGTCCACGATTAAGTTGTTCTTTTTTCATAGTGAAATCTATTTCATGTTCAACCACTTTATTAACCAAGACATGCCACTCCACCCCATTCCTTTCCTTTTGTACTCCCAGCAATTTACTTGAATTCCTTCTGTGGATTATCTAATAACAGGGAAGGTATAGATGCACCATTATCACTCCTGTTGTCACATGAGATACATTACATCACATGAAATAGAGTTTCAGGCAGAATATTTTTCCCTGGATATAGAAATGAATTATCTGTCATTCTGTGAAAGAAGTGACATGCTAAACCAGATGTACAGCAGCAGACTCATGCAGCTTCCAGACTGGCTTCATCTTAGACTTAATCATTCCTTACGATCTTCATCTGTATTCCCTGAATATAGAGCCTGTACTCAAACTAAGTTCCTCCCTCCTCCATTCCTATAATTTCTTTATGGCTCCCTTATCCAAAAATCTTCATTTTTAAACAAGCCAAAATTACTTAGGATTTAACATGTTGTGACACATATTGTGATGCATAAGCTTATCTTGGGACAAGTGCTTTTCTGTTCTCCTGTTTAATACATGTCCACATGTATATGTGTATGTATATAAAAAGACATATATGTAACCTTACATCTTTATATATATATGTGCATGTTTATACAAGTACATATAGATATGCTCCTAGTTTTTTGGTAGCCCTTGTTTCCAATAATGATTTTAGTCAAAGTTCCAAAGTATGGATTTCATTTAGGGTTAAGCAAACAATTAGTATGGCAATAGGAATTTATTGTTATAAATGTATAACAAATATGTGCCTTTTACAATAAACTTAAAATAATGTTTGTAATTAGCAATTGGAATTCAACATTTTCTAGCAGTCTCATTAAAATGAAATTAGATGCAGAGTTGGGAATTTTAATTCCAAACATTCACCTTAATTGTTGAAACAAGTTCCTGAATGAGTTCCTAGACTAGTTCAGCAAATGTCCATGCAAATGAGGTAGTAAAACATGGAATCCAATCTTGTTAACATTCCTTTCCAGAATTATGACATTGAAAGAACTTCAGAAGGAAAAAGGGGATTACAGAAATTTATATTCCTCTGCTTCATGGATTTCTACTTTGTTGTGAATGATTATGTCCTTAGAGTAAAAAATAATGTAACAAAAAAACCCAAAACAAAACCACAAATAAAGACACAAAAAACCACAAACAAAAACCCCCACCACGCTAGAATACTTTAGTGCCTTCTATAATACAATTTAATACAATACAATATTTCTAAGGCAACTTATTCAAGAAAAGCATTAAAAAATATTGAGAAATAATGGCTTTACGTGATAATAGTAGGGAGGAATTTCAAACAAATTTGCAATCAAATGAGGCTCATGCCTAGGCTCATGCTGTCTAGGTCTTGCTCCAGACCATTTTTGCTCTAGATCTGTGAAGCTTAAAGAACAAGGCAACTTTTAAAGAGGTTCAAGGGAAACAATTCTCTTTGTGGATACCCAGACAACTGGAAGCTTTGAATGTGAAGTGTTGAGTGAAGAGACCAGCCTCCAGCTGTGCACACCTACCTCCTCCTGCAACCAGCACAGAGGAGGAGGGACTTTTTCCAGAGAGGTCAGGACACTTTTGACTCTTAGGCAATTTGAGGTTGATAGTGGGAAATGGGACACATGCAATTCACTAACAAACTCCTGGAGCCAGATCCACCCTGGAGCTCCCACCCCAGGGACTGCCATAACTTTGTGAGGGAAGAGCAGATCTGGGACAGGCATGCTGGACCTATCCCATGCCTTCAAGACCATCATCATGCTCCTCCTCCAGCCTTCCAAGTCCCTCAGACCCACAGAGGGGAGAGCAAAGGCAGAGGTGCCAGGATACAGGGGATGAGGGAAGAGAAGGAGGAAGAAGGTGGATACAGGCTTGACAAGCAAAAGTTGTTAAATGCTGTAATTAGATGGTCAGACTTAGTTTCATAGATTTTCCTCCCCTGTCCCTTTTCTTATCTTGGGACAGTTAATATTGACACGTATCCGTATAGTTTTCAACCTTATACTGTTAAAGACCACCCTTTTATCTTTTTGGTCTAATTTTCCAGAGTCAGTCTGAGTTCTAATCTAATCAAGGACTTTAATCCTACATGGGATGTTTACTTTCTATACCTTATTTCACAAGGGCAAATATGATACACATGATACAAAGCTAATTTATGACTTCTCTAAAGAAATAATCGCCTTTTGTTTCTCTAAATGGTACTGAAATGTGAAGTTAATAGAAAAGCAAAAGTATACAAAGATAGTAAAGGATGTTTCTGCTAAGCTGTGTAGTGCCTTATCTGTGCCTCATGCAGAGTGCTGATCTAAGTAAAAGCTTGATCTGCATCAAGTGTAGTGAATTTCACTGACTTCCTTGAAGATTTATTAATGAAACGCCAAAGAATCAGGCTGCAAGGCTGCTTGGCTGTGTGAGTAACTGCGAGAAATTCACCCAGTCATTCTGGCATGATGCACATGGATGGAGCTAATCAATAAATTCCAAATAATTTGCTTTATTTTCTCTGGAAAATTATCAGAGTCTGGCATACAAATAAACAACTACCACACAGATCCAAACTCCAAACATAAGAAAAAGCAAGGGAATTGAGAGATTTGCACATATCTTGTGTACCACGTTCCAAGAAAGGCCCCAGAAGTAGCCTTTTGTTGGAGAAGGTTATGAAGGGAAGGCAAAAAGGCAATGTAAAGGTCCTTAATTTCATCTCATACAAAATACCATATGTTTTTGCATGCTTCATTAATGTTCCCTGGTTTACTGACTAGAAACACACAGCGAGTCCAACCTTCAGGGGTCAGCAGTGCTCAGCATATCTATGAACTGCGCTCTAGGCAACTCTGGGGACTGTGGTATAAGGGCTGACTCTGCTCAGTATTAATCCTGCACTTTTAGGTTGGATGGTTTGGAATCTGAAGATGAGCTAAGCACAAATCACCCCCCATTCTCACAAATCCCACCTATCACCTGTACAGGGCTCTTCTCTGAAATAAAGTAGTATTTAATTCAGAGGGTGAACTTAAAGATTATTCTTGTAAATAGTTTTGCCAGATTGCAAATTTTCTGTTTACTCACAGTTTTGAAACAAGATAAATACAGTAGTCTTTGCTGAGCTTCCTAGTGCAGAGAGTCCTGTGTCTTATGAGCGATAACATTCATTTTTTGGAAAGCCTAATACTATCAGAGTATCTGTATATTATCTAGAATAAAACCTGCTAAATGCAGCAGAGTTTCTGGGCTGAAATACAAACAGAATAAAGAACGGCTGCTGCTTCAATCTCATTTTTATGCCCAGTGGTCTTTCGTAGACTGTTCTGCCTGAATTTGAGTTTTAGTAGATTATCTTCAAATTAGAGGTCAGGATGTACTTATAATTTAATGCCTTACTCCCCTAGAAGCCTAACAATTTAAATTCAAGGGAACAAAATCTTTATAGCTTTCCTCTGCCTTGACAATGAGCTGTTTATGGACTCTTTTTAGCATACACAGGCATACATGCATGCAAAGCCAAGAGGTGGAAGTGAAATGACTCAAACAATTAATCTTTCCTATTACAACATTATTGCTATTCCAGGCTTTCTTATTCTTGTTAAATGACAGTGGATTGAACAAAAAGGGAATAAGAAGTGTGATGGATAGGAAAATATAACGATGACAGTATAATAAATTTTTGCTTACCATTTCCTGAGTGTTTGCAAAATCTGCCTCTTTCGAGCTACACTGCACCAAAAGCATTATAATATTAATCAGAGCAATACAAAGGAATACATATCTGTATCAAAATCTAGTTAAGAGTACTGAGCATTCTTGCTCCCTAAAAACAAAACCGAAATAAAAACAAAAAAAAGAGGAGGTTTTCATCTCATTGAAACAGTACATGATACACTACTAATGCTTGTGCATATACAGAGGTATGTTGGTATCTGATTAAAAATGAGCCTTAGCACACAGTCTGAGCCTTAGCACACTGTCTTGCATGCAGACTTTTATTGCAAACAGAATAAACTACTCTTTATCTGAGAATCACAGTCATAACCCCTCAAGGCATTTTTATTTGATCTTGATTGAGCATGAAAAAGGGGTTCACAGAGCAGCCATTTCTTTGCTATTTCTGCAGCATCTCTCAAGGCAGGGGCAGTGCAGCTTTAGTGTAGAAAGTGCTAGTTCTTCTGGAACATGTTATTAGTGTAAATCTTGATCTGAACTTGACTTTATTTTATATTTAATGACACAATGTCACAAATACTTTGATCTGCATTAATGCAGTTGCTGGAATCAAATTACTTTCAGTCATGTAGTGTTTTGATCCCATCCTTAGCTACACCATCCAGCCTTCAAGAACTGATGCTCTTTTACACTGCAAGCTGTCTCTTACCCCTATTAGCCCTAGGAGACTTACCACAAGAGAGTAACATATCTTGAATCCAGGTTTAGCCACAAAGTAGTCATCAGATTTGAAGGTTATCTTTATGTGATTTGTTCTTGATGTTATTCTTGGAGGTACTTCCTTGTGTCCACACCACCGTCCTCGAATAACTGTGCTGGTCTCTGATACATCTTCCACTTCCACAAAGTCATACCTAAAAAAGAGTATGAAGAATCAGTTTTTGCTGACTCTGGTTAGAGATGATGCTTGCAAACTGACAAGAGCACAGCTGGAGACAGAAAGACAACTGTCCCCTGTTCTCCACTCCAAAACATCAGACTAAATATTACAAATGGTGGACAAATTTATGTGCCACAAAACACACTAAGCTGCAAGCTACTGCAGTGCTCAAATGACTGATTTCTGTGCTCCTGGAACATGACAGTATTTGCTACCACGTTAAAATAGCAATAAGAGGCACTTGCATGTGCTCAGTATACAGTAAGCATACGCACTGCGTTTCATGTTGTGGGTAAATAATTTAGAGACCTGATAAAATATTATTTAAGGCAGGCTGCCCAACCTGAGCAGCTGCAAGTACTTGTGCACTTTCTGGTGGTCACCCAACTCCCTGCAGCAGCAGCGGCAGCAGCCACAGGCACCCGCCTGCTGTGTCAGTCAGAGGGCCAGAGAGGGGCGGCCACTGTGCCAGGAGCAAAGGGAGATGCTGGAGGGACACAGGGCAGTGCATGCAACTGAAAGCTGCTTTTTAGGAACTTCTTTGTAGGTGGCACATTGCTCCTGTAGCTGGTTTGGAAAGATTTATGTCTAGCTTTCAAGCAGGAAAGCATGTTGCCGCTCTGCATGCTGCAGTGGGAAGTTCATGTGCATGCTGTCGCCAGGGAAAATGCAACAGCACATCTTGTTCTGTGAAAAGTCACATCTTGGCCAGGCACCTGTGCCACAACAGTGGTCCCTGAGCCCAAAGAGGGCTCTGCTAGGAGCAGAAGGCACTAAACCCCAGGGATGAAGGGACACAGAGCCAGCACTCACTGCTCCAGTCTATGCATTCTCCTGGGTATAAATGACCATATAAATCAATAAAAAAATGAGTCCAATTATTGAGCTGGAGAATAAAGGGGACAGAGAATAAAGTTCTGCTATTACTAAATCTATGACAAAAGGTCTCTCAGTATCTTTGGAGCCAGAATTAGGCCCCACACATTGCTGCCAGAGAAAGAGAGGTGATGACAAGAGGGGCAGCTTAAGTGCCATCCTCACAGTACAGTTAAGCCTTAAAACTCTGGAGGTCTTTACCAGGAATGTTTTCTATTATCAAAGCATCTGCTCCCTCCAAAGAGGGTGTTCAGAACTGTGAAGTGATTCTTGCTAGCAATGCAGTGCTCCCCACCCCTGGGTCTGTGAGCCAAACACCCTCCTCGTTGCCCAGTTGTGGGAGCTGAATAGCTCTGTAAATAACAGACCTGCTTTTCTTTTTCTGCTGAGAGCCCATGAGTAAAAACCCACAAGTACTATGTGGTTTGAGAATATCAGCTCTGCTGCTTTTATATTCACCAAGCCCCAATCACACAGAACAGAAAATAACAGATCCACCATGACCACTTAAATCTGCCCTAACTCTGCTAAAATATTCTTTTTTTGTTACACACTGAAATCTGTCCCAGGCAGAGGTAAACTTGTTTCAATCTCTCTGCACCATCCACAGCTCCCACTCGCTGGTGGTGATGGATGTGGTACCCAGCAGAGCTCCCAAGCATCCAGGCAGCACAGTATTGCAACACAAGGGGTTGTGGTGTTCAGCAGGAGATAACTTTGTAAGCTTTGGTAAAAGCTGTCCTGACTGGCCTCCCCACTTTTGAAAGCCAGAAGCCAGACTAAGTAGCAAAACCAGGGAAAATCCATGGTCTTTCAAGGATTATATCTGCTTTCAACAGCAGAAGCTTTGCTGCAACAATCATGGAAGTAGGTGTATTCTCAGTTGCTTCTGTGCATCCAAGGAGCCTCAAAGGCTGGGTAATTTAATTGCTTTTCAGAATCATCTCTTATCAAGTGCCTGTGGAAATACTAACTGCACTTCTTGAACATTCTGTAAGACCTTGAATATTTCCTCTCCTTCTTCAGAAGCTCTGAAGAAACATAGCTCTGCTAAAATATACCTCTTCATTCCTCAGCCTGAATGAATTTCAATCAGTTCAGTCTTAACAGCATGCAAAGTACAATAATTAGCATTAATAAAAAAACTGAGAGAAAATACTAGAAAGTTTTTGGAGAAAAAAGCTTAAGGTCAAAAGCAAATACATAAGCAAGGTAAAGTGCAGAGGTCCTGAATTACTTATCCAGTATGCCCAGCTTTCAAACATATGCTCAGCTCTCGGCATTCATTTCAATTAAAACAGTCCTGGCTGTGTCTCTAAAGCAGCACTGCAGGGATTGCCAGGGACTGAAGCTGCAGAAAGGATCTAGTTTTGAAAAATATATTGACCATTGCAAAAAATCCGACTGCACACAGTACCTAAGAGTCTTAAAGCCATCACAAGCTGTCTGACCAAAAAATTCCTCACTCTGGAAATAATACTACCCAAATAAAGGTCTTCCAGAAACTCAAGGGAAAGCTTCACTGAAGAAAAGGATATGATATTTCTCCAGCTTCTGTATAAAGTATGGATGATGGAAGGTCTTTGCTTTTCTCTGCATTCTAAATTAGCTGCTCTGGAAAAAGCAAGCAGACTGTCTTCCAAGATGCTCTCCAAGCACATAATGCCAGTAACAGCTTGACTTTCCCCCACTGTGCTACCACCTTTAATGGCTTTTGTCAGAGAATACTTCATCTTTTTTTTTCCACAGTAAATTAGCCCTCTGTTTCAAAGTTGCAATGCTTTAAGGTCAGCCACAGTTTATCCACTATGTAAATATTAACAGGCTGCTTCTGTGTGCATTAGGCTCTGAATCTGGGAAAGCGTTTGGGGTACTGGGAGGTTACTGTTGTTACTGACTTTGCTGCTGATCTTGGACCAACATCACCAGAGCAGACCTGCCAAGGAGCAGGGAAGGAGAGCCAGTTTTAGGCTGCATTCTTTTATTACTACATGGAAAACAAACCTGCAGGAACCCTCTGTCAGTAATGCAGAAAACTTAACAAAGAAAAATGAGAAAAAAAAAAAATCCACCCTGTAAAATGCCTGCAGAGATGCCAAGCCCTACTAACACAAATTAATTGACAAAGATAAGATGAGGATGGGTGTGCAGAAATACTAACAACCAAGTTCTCTGTATAGATAAGGTGTAAGTAACAACATTATCAGGTAGACTTAGAGGCTGAGACTTGAGCATTTTAATGAAGTAGCATCACAGCAATCTGCCTTTTGGAGGGCATGGGAATCCTGAGCCTGTTTTCTCCCACAGAAAAGAGAGCTGAATAAAAGAAATATAAACACATGGATTTATACTGTTTTAGTGAATGTTGGCAAGATTCACCTCTGTACTCTACTAACACAAAACAGTTTATGCACCTAGCTTAATCAGCCAGATCATCTGAGCTTAAGGTCACTTTTCCTTAAAAGGGGAACCAAAGCAACTAGGATATAGTAGGCTGGCTTTAACAGATTTATAGATACATCAGCATGCATCAGCACACTGATGTTTGTGAACCTATATTTAAAACTTTTAAAAGGAATTGTACCAGTGAAGAGTAAAAATAAAGATAAGCAAGTAATTTGAACATAACTATATTTTTCAATATGTTTTTATCTGTCCCTTCCACCCCAATAAAAGCACTTATGTACTCACTCAAACCTCCTACAGCCCTCCACCTATTGAAAAAGATGTTTCTTGCCTGACTGAAATGTGACAGAGGTGATAGAGGACAAAATCCTATTAAAGTAGCAGCCATGTTGTTAGATAGCTGGATTTGAGCATTCAAGTACCTTGTGCTTCAAATGTTATAGGAGGACTAAACCTGACATAACTGCTTCAGGTCCAGGACAGCTCAGTTTATTTATGAACTCAAAGATCAATTTCAGCCCCTGAAAGGTCTGTCCTCCTTGCAAGGACACCCTAGACCCAGCCAGAGGTGCTGTGGTTTTGCTCTGCAGTCTCATGCCAGTGAGCTCAAAGGCGCTCTTAAAGAACCCTTTGCAAACTTTCACTTTCCACTCACCTGCAGATCTCATTTTCGGGTTCCTCCAGCCCAAACTGATTATCAAAAGCCAGCTGGATCCTGGTGCTCTCTGGGGAGTGGAGCCGCCACGTCAGCAGGAGGTTCCTGGGGTAGCTGCTGGGGAAGCGAGGACTGTGGATGCAGCCGTTCCCTGCCACGCTGATGGTCTCTTCTTTTCGGTACAAGTCTGTGAGGTGATTGCTCTCTGTTAGTAGTCACAACTTGTAGAAATTAGTATGTTGTTCCAGTTACAGGAAGGCAAAAAACACAACAGTTTATAACACAGCACAATTATTTGCATTTCAAGTCTATAAAAAGTTGGGTCTAGGAGCAGTTATTATTAAATAGGAGTACAGTGTATTTTCTCTTAATTCAATCCCCTATTAAACAGTAAGAACAACAGAACTCAAGTATATGGACTCTTTATTTTACACGAAATGTATCATTATTTTTACATTTATATTGATTATATGATTTCATTCTCACCACTTTTGTTTTAAAACAGAATTAAACTTTAATAAAAGCTACAAGCTTGAGAACAATGAAGTAAGACAGACTGAAATAAAAAAGGTAGACAGTGCTGCTTCCCAAATTTTGTGCTCTGGGGAGCAATGCCCTCTAAACAAAAGCAGCAATGAAGGGCTTCAGGAAAATAAGTATGGGTGAATTGAAATTTCTTTATTGTGCTTAAGTATTTCCTCCCAGAAACATGTGTAAGGTCATGTTTTGATTTTATTTATATGGTGTGAACCATTTTCTGCCTATGGTCCATTCACTCAAACAGCTACTCCCTGCTTATACCAATGTAAGTGAGGCCAGGTCCTGTCCCATCAACCATCTTACTCAGTAACTTCAAGACAAATAGCCAAGTCTTTACTTAATTAAAATTCCACAACTTTTGCCTGAGTAAATATTCAATTGTTTCTAAAGTTTACTTATACTGAGGTAAAGCCCCAGCTACTTTAAATCCATGGCTCCAAGGATTACAGAAATTGTGGCAAAGACCCAGCTCTCCTCTCAGCTGCACCATGCATTTGCACTGCCCAGCCGTCTCTGATACTAGAATTTGGGTCGGTTTGTATCAAAATGCTGCAAACAACCATTCTGCCATGCATTCACAACTTTAGTATGGGGAAAGTCTGAGGATCAGAAAGCTCCAAGGCAATGTGCAGATCACAGCAGGTTTCAGTTCCCAGTCAAGACATGCACTTCTGAGCCTCCACCTGTGGCACAGCTACCTGTGTTCCTTCCCCACGGCATGTGTGGGGATCTACATGAATCCGGACACCTCTTTTCATGTAAAAAAGGGTATGACACCCAAACTCTGGTGTCTTTATCTCAAACTGGACATCACCCCACTCTGCTGAATGCCACATCAACCTCCAGTTCCACTGCAAGCAACAGGAATAGAAAACTGGTGCCTTCTCACGAATCTGGCTACTAAAGAAGCACAAATGGGGGAAAAACATCTCCACCAAGCCACTCTGTGAATGCTGGAAATACAAAACCAAAGCAACCAGCCACAGCCACCTGTCACACACGCTACTCTAAGTCTCCACTCTTAAAAAGCTAAATCTAACATATGACTGAAGTTTTCTAAGCTCTTTATATGAAATAAATATACTTGTTTTATAAATGCTCATTGAAAACAGGAATCCATACAAATGGTACAAACTTCATGATTAGTCTAATTTTCAGGTTTCAATATTTTCATCTATTTTTAAGGTTGCTTTCACTGGTTTCTGGCAGTAAATACCTCTCTGCACACAGCTGTAAGCAAAGCATGGTTGTCTAACAACAGTTCATTGTACTCTTCTGACAGCACAGTAATTCTAGCTTCCGAACAACCTGGTACTCAAAACACAAAAGTCTGTGTTTCTTATAAAACTATCTCCACAGATCTAATTGTGACATCTTTCTAAGATGCTTTCATACTCTGAGCCACCCTTTCTAAGCAAACACAGGCCTACCTCACAAAGTGCAGAACTAGCCAGTTTTGTTTTCTTCTGCTTTGACCAACCACTTTGCATGGGAAAAGTGCCAATTTGGTGAAAATAAAGACCACCCATCTATTAGTTTTGTTGCGATTTTCATCAGGGACATCTATGCTGAAGTCTGTTTTGTATTTGCTTTTATTCTTATAAAAGGGGAAAAAATACATCTGTGGGTTTTTTTTCCCTGTGATCTGGAATGAAACAAAATGTCCAGCCAACACTACTGAGTTCTTACTGAAATTCTGAGGACCTTTGGCCTCTGAAAACAGCCAGAACACCAAGAGGACAAGATATTTCATAGGACTTTATCCAAAACATCCAGGAAAAGGGATAAAAATAAAACAGATTTGATGATAAAAAAATTTAGTGTAAAACAACCATTCCCTAAGTCAGAGCAAAAGTTACTGCAGTAAAACATGGCAAAACTCATCCTGTGCCTTAGAGTCCTTTAGTCTTCTTTCTTGGAGAGCAAACTATTGCCATTACCCCTCTGTCACTATGCATTTCACTGTGTGGCTCTATCTGGTTCATGATTCTGAGGGGAAGGTTCCCTTTTCCCAGGCACTCCTAGCACAGGCTTTACCCTCCTGTTGTCCGCTGCTGAAATTAAAGTTCTGGGGACAGTATCCCTGAAATGTGCTCATAACTATGCCCCCAAACAAAACAACTGTGCACACAACACACCAACTGAGAATGAACACTACCTGCTCTCTTGTACATCAAGAAGAGGGTCTGTCACAGATTTTAATTTAAGTTAAACTCAGAATCCCACAGACTACAGTGTCACACCTGACCAAGACTAGAAGTGTCACGGCTGGCACAGCTCTGCAGTATCCAAGTTGCACATGGTACATGGAGCAATAGAGCCGCACATGTTATGAAGCTAAAAAATCAAAGCACAGTGACCTGTTATTTCCATCATAGTAAATGCAGCATGGTAAAGGCTGGACAGAAGCATGGGGAGAAAATTCTCACTATAGTAAAGTAAGGGGTATTCAAATATTCCACTCTGAGGAAAAGCCCTTTCCACAAAAGAAGAAAGTATGTTTGATGAGAATGATCATAAATACTGTTTCTATGGCCCACATGGGATGAAATCTAATGCAATTCAAAGCCAGAGTCAACCCAGACTCACTCCCAGGAGGTTGGCTTCTCGTGAATCATCAAGCATCTGGGAAACAGCTTCAGGAGGTGTGAGCAACTCTTGTACTTTTGTAGCAACAAAGCTATGAGATTAAAATAACACCTTTCCAAGCAGACAACTGTCCTCATGAGATGCACTGGGGGAACTCACAGAAGTCACACATTCACCAAGGGGAAAGTCAGGATAAAAAACACTTAGTAAAAGATAGAGGGAAAGGAAAATACTCTGTCTTTCAAGGCACTGAACTGTCCCATGTTGCAACACAACACAATGCAGCACTACACAGTGTCCTGGATGTCACATTCTAACTGTGTTCCATAATGCTTTATGGGAGTAAATAAAACACGACACTGCATAACACACTGCCTGTCACATTTACTAAAAAGCATATAAAATCATTTCACAATGAATAAAAGTAGGTGCTAAGTCATAAGGCAAAAAGGCCATTTAGGCCATACACAGAAGGAGGATGTTCTAGATGGCAGGAGCCACAAACACATCCTTGCACTGGGGGAGAAAAACTATCTCATAACAAAGATGAGTGGGAAGGAAATCTGGAAGACATCCTCTTTGGTGAGGCAATTCCCTGTAGAGAGTCTGAGCTGATTGCAAAGCAGCTTGCTCTATATTTTATTTATCTGAACTAATCTCTCCTTTTTTTCCCTTTTAATTCCCTCACAACCACGAATTTTAAACATAATGGCGTACATGATAGTCCAGCTGTCCAAATTAGAGGAGCTCCCATTTAAATGCTCAAGGCAGCTGCATTTTCCAAAGTACTTGCCTTCCTCCCCCTGCAAGGAGCGCTGCTGGGTGTCAGAGTGGGAACCAGGAGGTACAGTTCGATATTCAAGAAAATGTGCTTGACTCAAGGCAGACCCCACCATGGGTGCCCAGCACAACCAATGTTTCCCTTTCCCAGCTAGGCCATGCTGCAGGAACACCAAGAATCAGAAAGACAAATTTCTTCCTGTGTTTTCTTTGGATGCCTGCACTTCCTTGTGAGCTTTAGCAATGTGTCAACACTTTCCTCTTAAAGCTACTCCTCCTAGCCATGACGTGCCTATTACTACAGACAGATACGGCTTGTACCATCGTTGCTCAACAGAAAATTAATTCCTTCACTAAAACAATAGCAATAATAATTTTAAAAAAACGCAACCAACCTGAAAGGCAATTTCTAACTGCTAATCTGGCATCTGTTCTACGACATATCCAGCAAGGAGAGTCTGTAAGTGTCAATTCCTTTATAAAGAAGAAGAACAAAGAAAATGACCTTGTCTAAGGACCTAATGAACAATACGGAATACTTAATTCCACCTTTCTAAGGTTTCTGGAATTTCAGCTTCACTCCCTAAGGTGCTGTCTTATGTGTATGTTTGCTTCTGTCTTTCTTCCCCCTTGGGGAAGTTGGTCAACCAACTCTGATACAGTGGTAAAGGCTGAAAAAATACCATAGTCTGAACGTATTATGACAAGAAATATACCTTCTCAAATGCCATGGAGTGTAACCTGATGAGTTCATCCTCTAGTACAGCTGAGGAGAGAGTTTCTGAGAACCATGGTGAAGTTAATTTTATTACTTGTGAAAGTATTTTTCATTTCATGAAAGGACCTTGGGATTTTGCACATGGGAGTTTTCCAGATATAACTCTCCTCCCCCTTTGCTGTTGTCTTAAAAAAAAAAAAATAATACAGCAATCAGTGGTTTGCCACCAGTTTTTAAACAAATGAGATAACCTTCAGGGAGAATAATAGCTCTTCAGTTCCTCCAGTTGAAAATTAGCCTGATCTAAATGGCTGAATCCACAGAAAAGCAAAGAACAGTAAAACACTTTTGAATCCAGACCACAAATCAGTTCATCTTGGGGAGAGGCATGCCAATTGAGTTGTATTTATGGCAGCCTGTTCAGGCAGTCACTTGCCTTGTTTTTTTCCCCACCCTCCTGCAATAAGCAGAAATTTATCCATAATGTTCTGTGTAAATCAGATGAAAAGATGACAGAGTTCATTGCCAAAATAGTGTATTCTATACCTGGAATGGGAAGATGTAAAACTGTAAGGTCATTTTACTTGTTAAAAATGGAGACTTTTTGGATTTGCTTTTTTATTTGTTGTGAGTTTGTTTGTTTAAGTGGATATAAACAATAAAATAAATCCTGGACAGTGAGCACAACATCACACTTCTGCTCTCTAATGCAGAATATAGTACTATATGGTAGTACCAGTCCTAGACATCTCTGTCCTTTTAATGACAGAGGTCTAACTCACCTCAGTCAGCTCTGCTCCCATCATGATTCACCAGCAGTTCTCCAAGAAGGAAAATCAAAGGAGGGAAAGGATTGGGATGATCAGTGATAAAATAAGCATAGCACAATCCCAGCCAGACTAGAAGTTGCAAATTGCTTCTTATAGAGGCACTAAACTGAGAAACAGCCAACCTTGTGTAAGGATGTATATGTAAGAGTATATTAAGGCAATGGATCCATCCAAAACATCACTTCAAGTTGCTTTCAGCTTTATACAACTTTAATAACCCCATTTATTTCAAGGACATGACAAATTTATAGTTAAGCTCATACTTAAGGAGTTTGCTGGATCAAGACCCAAAAAAAAGAGAACAGCACTTTAACACCACCTAACCTGTTACTTACTACCCAGCAAATGAGCAATTAAAAAGTGAATCTAAATCCCACAGGA